GGAGGAGAGAGGGGGAAAAGGTACAGTGAATTAGTAGCATATAAGGTAGGTAGAAATTAGACGGGGGGAGGGTAAGAATAGTATGGGAAATGTAGAAGCTAAAGAACTTTTAAGTATGACACACGGACATGAACTGAAGGGGGGCAATGTGCGTGGGGGGTGCAGGGTGGAGGGGAGTGAAGGGGGAAATGGGACAACTGTAATAACATAAAAATATATTTAAAAAATAAATTTCAAAAAATTTCAAAAATATAAAATTGACTCCACGTTCAGAGGACTTGTGAGAGGAGGTCCCAGACCACTCTGAGGAGGATCCGAGGAAGCCGGTGCCCCTGAGGCGGAAGAGATTGTGCTGCGGCTGTTACTGCAACCCTATTTTTATCTCGAAGCTGCTGTATCCTTGGAAACACAACTCTATATATGGGTCATTGTAAAAGTAAGAGTGATGTTTTGATCTTCATTCCTATTTCTTCAAAGCTCTTCCTCCTCCTTTGTGCCTTCAATTCCAGTTGTCTTGCAAATTGACTCCCTTCTCTGGCCCCGAGGCAAATTTAAGCGTGTCCTATACTGAGTCTTCCCAAGACTTGCTCTATCCTTCACAGCAATCATTCTCTCTTGTCATTGTTGTTTATTTTTGTGCATGTACACCACAATGTTGAGACCTGTAGAGGACAGAGAACATGGTTCATCTACTTCTATACTCCTGACACTTGCCACTGTGTCTGGTGCATACTAAGCATCACTAAGTATTTGTAGAGTAAATGAGCAAAACAAATGTGTGGTGTGCTCCCTCCCTCCAGCCCCTCTCCAAAGGATCCTGACAACTCCTAATGAATTTATCATGTCCACAGTGCCTCGTGGTAATGATCCCACACACCGTCCACTCTAAATGAACACATTTACGAAGAACCTATTCTGTGTCTGGTTGGCTCTGGGATCTAGGAATGGGACAGTCTACAGCAGATTTTGCCCCCACGGCACTTGGATTCTATTAGGGGATGGACAAGTTCAAAACGGCAAGATAAAGGCTGAGAAGAGACTCTCATGGGAACACAGCATAGGAGCACCTCCAAGAGGAGGCAGCATTTAGACTAACACCTGAAGGATGAGTGGTGGGAAGGCAGCTAAAGGGTCAGAGGTTCTGGTGGAGGGCAGAGAAGGTGCAAAGGGAGCCCCGGCTGGGAGTGTCAGGGATGGAGCTGGAGAGCCATGCAGTCTGAGGAGCCACACGGACTGTGGTCGAGAAGGGTGGGCTCTATCCTTGGCAAGGAGACCCCTCTGAAGTGATTTCATCCTGGGTACGTCCTGGTCGGATTTGCAGAGCAGCGTGGCTGCTGTGAGACTGGATTGAAGAGGGCAAACAGGAAAATTTGTTTTGCTCTACTCTAAATGTACTCCTCATATCAAACATGTCTGTGACCAGATGTGCAGGTGATTTTCCCACATTATGCATTTCTGACACCAGCTGAGTGCCCTGCAATTCAGCTCAGTTCCGACACTGTCCACCCGGACACAGGTGCCAGATTCTCAGGTTAAGAGCTCAGTCCCACAAGACTGCCTCCCCCACCGCCAGATGCCAGCTGCAAGCCCAGGCTGTCCCGTGCTTCTGCCCAACCCGATATAAATTGGATCTTCCCATGACCACTCCTTGGGTTCAATTGGTTTGCCAGCGCACTTCAGAGAATTAAAGAAAAACAGTTTACTTGCCATTACCAATTTATTACAAAGGATACAAACGAACCGCCAGATGGAGGGGCAGAGTGCCCTCTGAAAGGGTACAGCGCACCAGAGCTTCTGTCCCTGTCTGGGGTGTGCCGCCTTCCCGCACACACCTTGTTCCAGAATGAGATCTTGTTCACCGGCCCAGAGCTCTCCAGGCTCCGTCCCTGTCGGTTTCCATGGAGGACTCACTATGCAGGCACGTTTGATTAAATCACTGGTACTTACATCAAACTCAAAGTTCCAACCTTCCATCACACAAGTCGGTTCACATGGTTATCATCATCTTAGGGTTATCTAAAGGCTTGCCAAAGTCACTTCATTAACATAAACTTAGGTCCTACTGAAAGGAATAATAAAACTATCTTTTTAGCTCTCATTGCCTAAGAAATTTTAACGCCTACTTGCCAGGAACATGAAGACCAAAGTATATATGACCACAGAGGGTAAGACTAAAGAGTTGTCATGAACTAGCTGAGGCATGACGGGTGGAAAGAGTGGGGTGAATTGAGGATTCATCCAAGGTTTACCAAGGTTATGGTTTGCACAACTGGGTACAGGGTTGTCATCACCTGAGGCAGGAAATTCAGGAGGTGATTTGTTCAGGAGGAAGAGACAATTTGTTCAATATGGAAGATGTTGAATAAGATGCTTTTGAGACATCCAAGTGAGGTATCTTGTGTCCCTTTAACTAGTCCAGAATCAGGACACCAGTTCTGAATGGGGGTCAGAGCTACAGCTAGAGCCTGGCCCCCTTAACTTACAGGTAGCCGTAGCTGCCACAGCTTCTCGGAGCTTGTCCAGTCAGGGGGTGTAGAAGAGAAGGTGAAGGGGACCCGGGGTGCATCCCTGGGGAACGGAACGTTGAGGGTCTGAGAAGGATGGACCCAGAAGCAGCACCGAAAAGGAGCGTTTACAGCCACTGGGAGAAAACCAGGGCAGTGCGGTGTGTCATTGAGGTCAAGCAACATGCCTCGCTTTCTGGCGTATGCACAGCCATGCAACAGAGAACACATGACACGTCTGTAGTATAGACAAATTTGTGCATGCCTAAGCACAGGCTGCAAAACAAAACAGTCATTTTCAGTCAACCTAAGCATGCAGTATTTCTTTCCCTGCAAACATCTCCCAAGGAGTCAGCAACGAGGGAGCCACGAGGTCAACACTGCCCTTCTTGGAGCCTTTGCACACACTCTTTTCTGTGCCCAGAGTGCTCTGTTTTCTTCTCTGTTTTTTTGTTCCTCTTCCTCATTCAAGACCAGCTTAGATTTCATTTCCTGAGTAGATGCTTTCCATCACCTTCAACACCTGTGATTCTCAAGGCAATGATTTCTGTCCTAACAGATCCTACCCCAGGGGTGTCCAACCTTTTGGCGTCTCTGGGCCACATTGGAAGAAGAGTTGTCTTGGGCCACACATTAGGTCCACTGAGACATGTAATCACAAAAACATCTCATAATGTTTTAAGTAAATTTACAACTTTGTGTTGGGCCACATGCAACCCAGGAGCTGGATACTCCTATTAGCAAATACCACAGCTTTCTGCTCAACACACAGTTTGGCATTTGGTGTTACATAACCAAGTGGGTAACTTTAATTTTTCAGCCTTCCCCAGAAAGATTTGGTGGAGCCCCAAAATTTGTCAAAATAGCACAGTCACAATTCTGTTCTTTTGCATTGAAAATGTCACTAACTGGTCCCACACTACCCCTCCAACCTTAACGCTGATCATACCTCTCTGCATCTTCAAAGCTTCTACCACCTACTGTGGGTAGCCAGTTTCCACAGACCACCATCTCTTCAATCACCTTTATCAGAAACAGGAACATCCTGGACTCCCCCGTCTCTCACTGTCCATGTTTCAAGCATCTTCCTGAGCCTGCCTTACAACATCCTCAAGAACCTGAGTATCTGTCCCCACCCCACTGCTACGCCTGTTTGGGCACTCTTCTCTCCTCTGCAGTCACAGTGGCCCTCGAACTCACCCCCTGCCTTCCCCTTCCCCGTCTATCTATACACTACCACCAGGCGATCCCCTGAAACCCAGATCTGAGTAAATCTGCTTTAAGTCGCCCAGTCAGTGCCTTCCCACAACTTCCAGGGTAAAAAGCCAACCTCCAGAGCCTGAGGGCCCTGGTGGCTGGGCTCCTGCATGTGTCTCCTTAGGTTCACACAGGTTAAGCTTTTTTGTCTCTTCTGCCTTGATTACCCTTTCATGATTTCCTGGTAAACACACACACACACCTGGGTAGACCATTCCCAGGTGCCCTCTGGCAGCTGGTCAGTCCTTACGATGTGCTCATTTCTGCCCCATGCGAGTCATGACTTCATTGGGCCGCTCAACTGTGACACAGAGGGCTACACGTGAAACCAAAATCCAGACCTGGACCCAAATCCTGTTTCGTCACTCCCTAATGGTGTAACCTCAAGAGATGTACACAACTCCTCTGCACCCCAGTTCCCTCTGTACTATGAAAACTGCCCCCAAACATAATAGGTGCGTAATAAATATTAGATTCAGCACTCTTTTCTACTGTTTTGCAACTGATTATTTACTTTTCTGTTTTCCCCACTAAAATGGGGAAAAGCTTCACCTAGAGATCCCAATTCTGCCTCTCTGAACCACAGGGTCTCACAGCTCTATCCCACTATTTACTTATTTTAAAACACGGACCACACCCTCTGCTCTATCAGTTTAGGTAAGTATCCAAGCCTCTTGTCATTTTCCCCGCATGGATTTTTCCTCATTTCCTGTTGAAACCACCTGATTCATTAAGAAATGGTTCATAGTACTGTCAGTGGACTCCTTTCTAGACTGAAAACCAAGAGGAAAAATTCGTTAAGGCACTAGTAATTCTCCCCATGGAGAAGGCTGTCTTTCTACCAGGACTCACAGGTCCCAGGACTGATCTGTAACCACCCCCTTCTCTCCTCTCACTCACATTCTCTAGGTAATTCAAACCGTGCATAAGGTAACCCTTTATACTGCTACCTCTAAGATGCTACAAAAGAGAAGGGGTAAAGAAAACTTTCTGTGCAGGCCTGGTTTGTTCTGATCATAGGCAGAGAGAGTGAGGAGGTTGTCCCTATAAACCAGTATGCTAGGCTGTCTGGTGTGGGGTCAGGTGAAGCCACAGTGGCTTGGGCTGTGGGTGCAATACTGATGACAAGTCGTGCCAAACACACAACTGACTTCTACCCAGGACACCCACTCTTGGTTTCTGCAGGAGGTCCAGAAGAGTTTCCTCCCTTACCCAGCAGTAAACTCACATGAGATGGAATCCTTTTACAAAAGGTAGGCTATGTTTATTTAGAGTCACAGGCAGTTAACTCATGCAGTGACTCAAACCACAAAAAGCCACTCCCACTTCACACCATCTGAGTCCTAGTGCTGCGGCCAGAGTGGAAGGAGCGCTGCTGGGGCCCATTCACAGGTTCACAAGCTTCTCATTGAGGGCAATCTGTGACTGTGTGAGGTTGGCCAGGTAGGTCACCATCAGCAGGTCCTGGAAGAGAAAGCAGCCCCAGTGAGTGAGGATCTGGGTGGAAGGGGAGCAGGAGGCTGGTCCTAGCAGCTCTATGACAAACACTGGGTATGAGGACAGTCCTGGATGGATGACAGCCGGAGAGGGTAAGTAAGAGCTGAAGGCAGAAGATGGAGGGAAATGCTTGAGAACACTTTTCTCATCTCTATTGATAACTTACAGACTAGGGGTGCTTGAGTTGAGATCCATGGGTAAAATTAGTGGGGGGATGGTGAACTCAGATGGGGAAAATAAGTTGCATTTTCATTAACCTCTGAATTTAAGCATTCCTTTCAACCACAAATCTAGATGACAAGTCACAGTATCAGCAGTACCTGAGCCAACGGAATCAAGGAAGAAGGGATGTACGAGCATGTGTACTATCTCTTCCTTCCTCCCCAACGGGAGAGCAAGGGGGACAAAGGTGAAGCCCTGTCTCCCATCTCCAACCAGGCTGTCTCCCCCAATTCCCCTCACGCCCATGGTGAGGCAGGGGAAGGCACAGGCTCCCAGAAGCCCAGAAGTGACACTCACGTTAATGTTGCTGTTGAGCATGGTCTCGAAGTCTTCGGCAGCTATCTTGGGTACTTGGTTAACCAGACTCATCAAGAAGCGGCCCACAGTATTGTCAGCTGACACCTTTCCAGACTGAGCACCAAAACCAAGATTGAAGGAGGCAGAGTTAATTCTCACCACCGAGGACTGTCATTTCAGCAGCTTATTCATAGTGACCCAGGAGCGGAGATCTACGCCCTCCCCCTCCTCACCAGGACATCTTCCGCGTACTGCAACACTGTGCTGAGAGCGTCCTGGATGCGGGCCGATGACCCCGCTACCTGCTGCAAGTCACTTGAGAGTCCAATCACCCGGTTGGGGCTGAAACAGGTCTTCATGATCAGGTCAACTGTGGCGTTGGATTGAGAGGTAAAAGAAACAGAGAATTCAGTGATTCCACCGGGAAAGAGATGATTTCTAACCATCCTGCTAACTCTCCCACCTCCCTCTGGACTTCATCAACTGCCCTGCCTTGCCCTGATTACTGCAGCGTTGCTTCCTGCAGACAGAGCTCAGCTCCTGCACCTGAGATGCCAATCACAGGCTTTGGTCTCACATGATTAGCCATGTAGCCTCTAGTACTGATAATTCCCCATCTCTAACAATGTCACACATAATTCCTTGAATCCCATTCATGTAGAATGACTGTGACTTCTAGTCAGCACACACTTTAGGTGAATGGTTCCTCTTTAACCACCCAAGGCCCTCCATCCTTGTTAGAGAGCAGCAGCCCCCTCCCATGACGACCTTGAAGGAGGGCACAGGAAAGTCACTCACCTCCAATGCGCTCAGTGTCGTAATACGCGTATTTCACTGTCAGAGGTGTGAACATCACGCCCATGGTCCTCCCAGGGACACCCATTAAAGTACTGGGGAGAGAGAAGTCAAGGTAAACAGATGGCCTCGAGACGTTCTGCACGTCTAGCCAGGCCAGGAAAGCAGTCACACCAAGAGTATGGCTTCCAAGGTTCCATCGTAAGAGGCCTGAACCCCAGAGGTCTCATGGGAGAAAGTCACTTTCTTCCCTTAGCTCATTCCACACACCAAACCCTCGGCCTGTGAGTGAGGACTCTGCCTTCAGACCTGGCCTGGTCCCGCCAGAGGACTACACCACACACTGTGGGATCTCAGTGACGAGAGGGCTGACACTGGGTTTCCCGTGCAGCCGGCTGCTAGACATCCACCCCTACCGAACGAAGTGACAGGACAGGTCTCCTCTGGGACTGAGCTCTTTCTTTGCATCTAAAACAAATGGACTCCAGTCCACCATGATGAGACTGGGTACTGTAAGTCATCTCACTATGGGTGACTGCCTTGACTATGTTAACTCTACGCTTTCAACGGGATCTGAAGGGGTATAAAGTATCTGCAAAGGCGGGGAAGTCAAGCAACAGGTAGAGCTTAGTGGCACACCAACTGGCCACGAGGACTTGGAATCCACCCCTTTGTCTTATCAAGTAGTAGTTAACTATTACATCAGTGTCAGACACAGAAGCAGCATAAAGCTGAACAGTGTACAAACTTAATGGACGCCTTTACTCTAAACAGAAAATAGAGCCTTCCCTAACACGCCCCATCAACCAGCACTCTCACTGCCCCTGTATGTCAACACTCCCCTGTTACGGCCCTCAAAACTGTACATAATCCTCAGTTACTAGACATGTCAAAATAAGGACAGCATTATTTAATTTGTACTACCCCAAGTCCTGTGCTCAGTTCTGGGGACAAGGACAAGCTACAAAAGGTAACTCAGAAAAGCAGTGAACATGGTGAAGGACCATAACCAGAATACCATGTAAGGATCAGCCAGAGGCACTGTGCGGAGTTGGCTTCCAGGAAAAATGACACGAAGAACATGATACCATACTCAAATACCTAAGGGGCTGCCATCTGAAATTGGTTAAGAGCAATGCGTAGAAATGCCTAGCTAGGGTACAGCTAGGGTCAGTGAATGGAAATTCCCAAGACAGATCTTATTTCAGGGTAAATGAATAAAGCCCTTCTAATGACCACTCTTGAGTGAGGAATGGGCTTCCTCAGGAGGCAGAGGGTTGTAACTGCCTGTGGAAGACGTGGGTTTCCACGCCTGGCACGGACCAGATGGCCGTGCATGCCCTTGTGGCCCAGGACCCTGGTCACCTGACGTAAGCCTTGATGCTCATACGACCGTTCTGGAGGCTCGTGTCCACAGTGAGGTGAATGGGGTTGGGGGCTTCGCGGCTGTAGTACTCATGGATCAGCACAGAGTGTTCTGTGATGTCATGGCCTGTTGCGTACCTGGAAAACAACGTAGGGCTGAGGACACCTGTCTACCTGTGACATCAACACCAAACACAATGGTGGCCTGCGTGTCTCGTGGTACCTGATGTCCCTATGGCAGTGATACCCAGTGACACTGAAAATACTAAAATAATAAACACATTGAAAACTATTATCAAATCAAATCAAAAGCTGACTTAGAGCTCTTGAAAAATTCCAAGTCATCAGCAAGGCAAAAAAGACTTGTTCAGAAAAAGCTGCAACTGAAAAGAAATACTTTTGGCTTCAGAGGAGCAGAACTGCTAGCAAAACACACTGAATTCATAACTCCTTGAGCTAGCACACCTCCCATACTGTCTCCTGAGCGAGGAGTACAGTATCTACTCTGGTGGCAGAAGGCCTTGGCAATTATTGAGACTTAATTACCTCTGCACCCCAACTTACCAGCCCAGGATGAGCTCATTTGGAGAGACTTTCTTGTGCAATTCATACATATTCTTAGCAAATTCCATGTCAACGGCCACCTAAGAAGGCAGAAAAGGAAGCTCAGAAGCCAGAAGTCCACAGAAAAAATGGATAAAAAGAGCGAGAGGCCACCCACCAGCCAGAAGAGGCACATGAAGCATGTTGAAACAGAATGAAGCTCTTTGAACTGTAGGAGCTCTAGTTAGGACAAGCACAACACAGCATGTGGTGGAGGACCCAGAGGGGGGCCCAGCAAAAGAACAGCTACCCCTGCACAGGGGCAGCTCAACCCCCCACTTACCTCATCTTCTGACTCATTGTGAGGCACTGAAAAGCAATTGGTGACTTCCACTGAGTGCTTGTCAACGGTTCCTGCGAGAGAGAATTGTCCATGTGTTATGGAATCCGAAGGCCCCTAACAGCCCCTGATCACTTTCCTAATGCTTTCAGATGTTTAGAGTCAACATCAATGAACAGCCCTGGCTCGTGTGGCTCAGTGGACTGAGTGGTGGCCTGCAAACAATAGGGCTGCCTGTTCAATTCCCAGTCAGGGCACATGCATGGGTTACAGGCCAGGTCCCCAGTAGGGAGTGCATGAGAGGCAACCACACACTGATGTTTGTCTCCCTCTCTTTCTCCTTCCCGTCCCCTCTCTTTAAACATAAATCAGCCATGTGTCGCAGTGGGACCAGGATTTTTCAGAGAAAGGAAACTCTGAAGAGATGTGTAACTCCTTCCTTCAGCCATCAACAAACAGGGTCTATTCTTTTCACAAGGTCTGCTTTTGCCTTGCTTCCCAGTATTAAGTCCCTACTCCAGATCTTTACTGTGGCCCTCATTTTCAGCCTCTAGACTTTCCCCCTATAATTAGTCTGCAGAGCTACCTGGAAGATTTCAATTCAGTCTACATAGACCAACCCTGCAGTGGCCAAGGCTCAGAAAACACAGTTGAGGGAGCCTCACCTGCACCTCTCTTCAGCCAGCTGCTCCTACAGTCCTAACCTTAACCCTATCATCACCCAGAAACCTGCCTGTGAACCTTCAACACCAATGCCAGTCTTTTAAACGCAAACTTCTATTGCAGTTCTGATAACTTTATCTCCACTGCGTACACCTATTTCTCGACCTCACCGAGACTTCGAGTCCCTTGACTCCTCTACTTAACTCCCATCCTGAGGCTTCAAGCACCTCCCTCTCCAGCACAGACCACAACGAGGCCTATACCCGTTAGTGGCTGATTCCACTTTACTAAGGGTTCCAGCTCCTCAGTGAAACTATGTCCTCAAAACCAATGGGTATATATTCTTTATCTTACTTGACCTCTTCTTAGCACCCAGCAGACCCAATCACTTCAAGCTTTTGAAATAGTTAAGTCTTCCCTATTTCTATGCCACCAGGACACCTTCTACTGGAGCAGCGACCACATTATATCCTAATTATTTGCATAGAAGAGTACGCCTTCAACTTCAACTTAAGGTTTGAGTTGAGCTCATATTATTAAGCTCTGAACTCTAAGTGCCCAACAGTTTTATGATATATAAATAGCACTAGTGACTTCGTCTTACTAAATGAAATGTTTCATATATTAATGTCTAACTGGGAAAAATGTTGAAGTCCCTACCAAGAATCCAGGCTTCATTCTTCAGCAAACACTGCCTCTGTAACAGCTAACACTGTACCACGATGACTGTCTGGAAGAGAATCTGAAGATGGAGACTACAGTCTGTCCGACTAGAGTCGCTGTCATATATGGGGCACTTAGCATAGACCTCGAGTAGAGAACTGTTTCTTTAGTAAAGCAGCTCCAGTGAGTTCGGAAAATTTGACAGTGAAGCCAGAAAAGTACTCGTGAGTGCTGAGTCGGTGATGCAAACACCATGTATTACAAGCTCAAAGCAGGGCACGGTCACAATGCTGTCGTATTTGGGAGGCTAAGAATGGGGGTGAGGGCAGAAATATGGGATGAAGGACCAACACCGAACACTGTTCCTGGGAACCTGGAAGGTGAGTGGAACTTAAAGAAACAAATAAGGGGGGCGGGGAGTAGGGAAGGCACTTGTGGCAAAGAGAATACAAAAGCTTGGTTTGAGAAAAACCATGGCTATGCATGGAAGATAACGGACTAATTGGAATTTCTGTAAAATGCTATGCTCTCAAAGAAAAAGGCAGAGAATGCACTGGTGTTTTAGGGGTGGCACAGGCCTGATGTGGTGAAGGAGTGCGGCCAACAGCTGTTTTATACTGGAAGTGTGCCAGCAGTTGTATGCTTTCTGTAATAACCTAGTTCTCACAGAGACCAAGTCTAAAGTAGCTCCTGAAGGAACCAGACTTCACGTGATTTGTCCCAAGGCTCAGGGATAACATTTGGTGGGGTCTGCCTACAAATCGTGTCCTCTTTGCAATACACCAACTGCCTTCTAAGGTAAGAAGACTGTTACAAGTTCAAGATAAGAAAGAGAAATGATGCATGCAATTGGAGTGGATTCACAAAGGTGTCTAAAATTTTTAATGAAGATGAGGTGAAAATGATTTTGATGGGACCACTAGTCCCCAGGGAAAGGAATATATTATCAGTAATTCCTCTTCAGTCCTTGTTTCATAAATTACTTTAACATAAAATAACTATCCCCCAAATCTGAAACATGGGTAAGGAAAAGGTTATTCTCCAATGTGAAGGTTAAGCAATATAATAAACAGACAATGCAATTATTTGTGTCTAAATAGAGAATCAGAGACAACTGGGGCGGAGCACCAGGTCTTTAAAGATGAGCATCTGCGAGACTGAGGGGCAGAGCATCAGGCTTACACCTTTAGGAAACAAGATTATTACAGAAGCCCTGACTGGATTCCTGCAAAATAGGTCACTTGTTGAGAGGGATATCTTTTAACCGATACTCCCTTTTGACAACTGGTTAGGAACTTCTTTGTAAACACCTGGAAAAGAAAGGTATTTTGTCCGTAGATAAGGGGGGAAACGTGGTCACCAGGCTTAGGTATTAAGGGATTTTGACTACCTAGTCGGCGTTTTAACTCATTTTTGGTAGTCTGGGACTAATCATACTCGACGTGAAATGCTACTGGGAAGATTGAAATGTAAATCATTCGGCACACGGTGTTCTACTCCTTACATATCTTATGCTGCCCCAAATGACAGCAACCAGGCCGGAGAGTTTCAAGTTCCTTCGGAAGATAAGTTGCAGAGAAACAGCTCAGAGATCAATGGGGATGGGAAAGGGAGCAAAATAAAGGCGGGGCGGGGGATTAAAAGAAGGCGTCAATTTTCTTTGCTCACTCACCCAGTAGGGTCCCGATAACTCTGGCGGCACCTTCGTTGCGTCGCTCGTAGCTGTCCACGATGGAGGCCAAAATGACCGGGTGCAGCCGGACCACACGGCCCCCGGGGAAGGGGCCTGGGAGAGCAGGGCCAACCAGCGACTGCGCCGGTGTCTGCGCTGGGGCCGGCGCCGAGGCTGGGGTCTGGCCCGGCGCCGCGCTCGCAGCCGCAGCTGCCGCCGGGTCTGGGGATGAGGTTGGCGCTGGAGTGGGAGCTGGAACCGGCGCTGGAACTGGAGCCAGCGCTGGAGCTGAGGCCGGGTCTGGGGCTGACGTGGGGGCCTCAGGTGGGGCTGGTGGGGCCACAGGAACACTCCCTGGTACTGCCGGTGTGGCCATCTTGTCGAGAGAGAAGGAGCATGGAGAGGAAAGGAGTAAGTTAGCAAACATCGACCGCACGATAGGCTGAGAACGCACCGCGTGAACAAGATCTCTGTTCCTATTGGTTGCTGGTGATGCTTCTCTCAGCACTACAATTTTCTCCACGGATCTTGTGCCCTTTGATCTCGGTCCGACGCGCACTGAGTAAGAGCAAGCTGAATAGTTCCTAACAAACTTGTGACCCTGCCGGAAAAGAAAAGACTTAGTCTGAGCAGTTGCCGGCAGATGGAGGCAGAGAGCTGCATAAGGGTCGCAAATCGTGTTTTCAGACTTCAGTGGCATAATGACTGTCAAAAGTGTCTTTTAAAAAAAGGGTTTTGTTTTGACAGCGTCATAAGGTGTCAGTCTGTTGCTTTATTCATTGAACAAATTGGGTATGTGACAGACGCTTTTTTTTAGGCGTTTGGGATATATCAGTGAACAAAACAAAAATCGATGTCCCTGAAATGTTTACGGGTATGAAAAATAAATAGTACCTTATATTATATGTTAGAAGGTGATAAGAGCTAAGAAAAAGTAAACATGTAGCAGAAAGTAAGGAGGAATCAGGCTCTGACACAATGAGAATATGAGATTTGAGTGGACTTGAAAAAGGCCAGGGAAGTGGTCATGGAGGTCGGGGGAGGAAGAGCCTCAGGGTAGAGGGGGTAGCTAGTACAAAGGCCTTAAGGGAAGAGCCGGCCTGGTGTCTTTGAGGAGGCTATTTGATGGCTGGAGTGTTAAGATCAAGCAAGAGAGTAGCAGGAGATGGACCTCTAAACAGGGGTTGTTGGCGCAGATCACTAAGGACCTCCTAGGCCATGGGAAGGATTTTGCCGTCTAGTTTGAGTGAGATAGGGAACAGTTGTGGAGTTTTGAGTAGGGGAGGGTCATGATCTGTCTTAATTTTAAAAGGATCACTCTGGTTGCTTTGAGAAGAATATAATGGGTGGGTGGGGGGACTGGGGGAGAGAGAAAGAGCAGAGATACTGGTAGGAGATACCAAGTATTCTAAGCAAAAAATGATAGTGGTTGGCACCAAACCAGTAGCAGTGCAAGTGGTGAGAAGTAGCAGATTTTGGTATATTTTGAGGGTAGAGACTAGAGGATTTTCTGAGAAACTGTACGTAAGGTGTGAAAGAGAAGACTACTGCAATTTTTTTGTGTGTGCTACCTAGTGTGAGGAAGTTGTCTAACGAGATAGTGAAAAGTACAAGTGGAGCAGGTTTTTGGGAAAAGATCATTTTGGTTGTGTCGCCATGGAAATGGCCATTAGATACTGCAGCAGAACTGCAGAGTGGTCAGGTGGAGATTCTAGCCTGCCCTTTGGGAGAGGATTAAACAAATAATGCTCTGTAAAGTGCTTAGCATATGCCTCATATCCAGCGGTTATTAAGTGGTAGCTCTTACCATTACTATGCAATGAAAGGAGGTCTGATCCTAACTCACTGTGTAACTTTGGACAATCTACCATTTTTTTCTGAGCCACGCTTTTCTTGTTGGTATATTGGAAAGATAACATCTGTTTATCAGGAAACCTATCATCTCCCTTAATTGGGTCAAGTCCCAGCATCCAGCTGTCAAGTTGGGTGTGTGAGTTTGGGTTTCTTAGCTCTGACTCTTATGCCCAAGAACTGCTTTTCCCCTGCAGATGCCTTCTATAATTAGAATTCACATAATCCTGCTCCCCTGTCCGTTCCCTGGGTAGACATACATTATTTTTTTAATTCCCCCTAACATAGGTGAACAGCCTATCAGAGAGTGATTGAAAAGTGACTCTTGGATTGGATATCCTGGATCTGCAGCAGCCCTAGTACAGCACTGTCAGTGGAATTGGGCTGTGGGTGGGTGTGTGTGTGTGGGGGCATGCACAAAGAAACCCGAATTCAGGTGTGAAAGAGTGGTCAATTTGAAATGATGGCAATGAGTGCTACTCTCTCTCAAGGAAGTTGCTGGGAAAGAAGAGAGACATTTAAAACAGTAGCTGGGGGAGCAGCAGGTCTGAGAGGGGGACAGTTTAGGCTGGAAGGGCTTATTTATTTATTTTTTTATTTTAATCATTGTTCAAATACAGTTTTCTCCTTTTTACTCCCAATCCAGTCCCCCTCCCATCCCTCCCCACTTCCCTCCCATTACCACGATCCTCTTAGTTTTTGACCATGTGTCCTTTAAGTTTGTTCCCGTGAACCCTTCCCAATGTCCCCTGAAATTCCCTCTACTCTCCCCTCAGGTCACTGTCAGCCTGTCCTCTATTTCAGTGTCTTTGGTTATATTTTGCTTGTTTTTTGTTGTTGTTGTTGTTGTTTAGGTTCCTGTTAAAGGTGAGATCATATGGTATTTGTCTTTCACTGCCTGGCTTGTTTCGCTTAGCATAATGCTTTCCAGCTCAATCTAAGGTGTTGCAAAGGGTAGGAGCTCCTTCTTTCTTTCTGCTGCATAGCATCCCATTGTGTAAATGTACCATACTTTTTTGATCCATTCATTTACTAATGGGCATCTAGGTTACTTCCAGCATCTAGCTATTGTAAATTGTGCTGCTATGAACATTGGGATGCATAGGTTCTTTTGGATTGGTGTTTTAGTGTTCTTAGGATAGAGTCCCAGCAGTGGAATCGCAGGGTCAAAAGGCAGATCCATTTTCAGTTTTCTGAGGAAGTTCCATACTGCTTTCCATAGTGGCTGTACCAGTCTGCAGTCCCACCAACAGTGCACTAGGGACCCCTTTTCTCCACAACCTCTCCAACACTTGTTGTTTGTTGCTTTGTTTATGATGGCCATTCTGACTGGCGTGAAGTGGTATCTCATTGTGGCTTTAATTTGCATCTCTCTGATAGCTAGCGATATTGAACATGGTTTCATGTGTCTTTGGATTTTCTGTATGTCCTCCTTGGAGAAGTGTCTGTTCAAGTCCTTTGCCCACTTTGTAATTGGATTCCTTGTCTTCTTAGAGTGCAGTCGTGTAAGTTCTTTATATATTTTGGAGATTAAACCCTTGTCTGAGGTATCATTGGCAAATATGTTTTCCCATACAGCTGGTTCTCTTTTAATTTTGATACTGTTTTCTTTAGCTGTGCAGAAGTTTTTAATTTTGATGAGGTCCCATTTGTTTATTCTTTCCTTTATGTCCCTTGCTCTATGGGACATGTCAGTAAAAAAGTTTCTGTGTGAAATATCTGAGATTTTCCTACCTACGTTCTCCTCTAGGACTTTAATGGTGTCACCTTTTATATTTAAGTCTTTTATCCACCTTGAACTTATTTTTGTATATGGTGTAGGCTGGTGCTCAAGTTTCATTTTTTTGCACGTGGCTGTCCAGTTCTCCCAACACCATTTGTTGAAGAGGCTATTTTTACTCCATTTTATGTTGCTGCCTCCTTTGTCAAATATTAATTGGCCATAGAGACTTGGGTTTATTTCTGGGCTCTCTGTTCTGTTCCAATGGTCTATGTGCCTGTTTTTATGCCAGTACCAGGCTGTTTTGATTACAGTGGCCTTGTAGTATAGTTTAATGTCGGGTATTGTGATCCCTCCTACTTTACTCTTCTTTCTCAAAATTGCAGCAGCTATTCAGGATCATTTATGATTCCATATAAATTTTTGAAGTGTTTGTTCTATGTCTGTGAAATATACCATTGGTACTTTAATAGGAATTGCATTGAATGTGTAAATTGCTTTGGGTAGTATGGACATTTTGATGATATTAATTCTTCCAATCCATGAACACGGTATATGTTTCCATTTGTTTTTGTCTTCCTTGATTTCTTTCCTGAGTGTTATGTAGTTTTCTGAATACAGGTCTTTTACCTCTTTGGTTAGGTTTATTCCTAGATATTTTATTTTTTCTTTTTGCTATTTCAAATGGGATTTTTTCCCTTGATCTCTGCTTCTGCTATTTCATTGTTGGTGTACAGAAATGCCTTTGATTTCTGGATATTGACTTTGTATCCCGCTGTTTTGCCAAATTCATTTATTAGGTCAAGAAGTTTTTTGGTGGAGTCTATAGGGTTTCCTATGTATACTATCATGTCATCTGCAAACAGTGACAGTTTTGTTTCCTTCTTTCCGATTTGGATGCCTTTTATTTCTTTTTCTTGTCTGATTGCTGTGGCTAAAACTTCCAGTACTATATTGAATAGAAGTGGTGAAAGTGGACAGCCTTGTCTTGCTCCTGACCTTAGTGGAAAAGATTTTAATTTTTGCCCATCGAGTATGATGTTGGCTGTAGGTCTCTCATATATGGCCTTTATTATGTTGAGGAATGCTCCCTCTATTCCCACTTTGCCGAGTGTTTTTATCATGAATGGGTGCTGTACCTTATCAAATGCTTTTTCTGTATCAATTGATATGATCATGTGGTTTTTGTCTTTGCTTTTGTTTATGTGATGTATTACATTTACTGATTTGCGAATATTGAACCATCCTTGCATCCCTGGAATGAATCTCACTTGGTCATGATGTATGATCTTTTTAATGTATTGTTGGATGCGGTTTGCCAGTATTTTGTTGAGGATTTTAGCGTCAATGTTCATCAGTGATATTGGCCTGAAGTTTTCTTTCTTTGTTGTGTCTTTATCTGGTTTTGGAATTAGGATGATGTTGGCCTCATAAAAAGAGTTTGGGAGACTCCCATCTTTTTGGATTTTTTTGGAATAGTCTGTGAAGGATAGGGGTTAACTCTTCCTTAAATGCTTTGTAGAATTCTCCTGTGAAACCATCTGGTTCAGGGCTTTTGTGTGTTGGGAGTTTTTTGATTACTGCTTCAATTTCTTTTGTTGTTATTGGTCTGTTCAGGCTTTCTGCTTCTTGTTCATTGAGTTTTGGAAGATTATATTTTTCTAGAAATTTTTCCATTTCACCCAGGTTTTCAAATTTCTTGGCATACAGTTCTTTGTAGTAATTTCTTACAATCCTTTGTATTTCTGTGGTATCTGTTGTAATCTCTCCTCTTTCATTTCTGATTGTGTTTATTTGGATCTTCTCTCTTTTTTTCTTGATGAGTCTGTTTA